AATTACTTTGATTAAGGTATTCATTTATCTTCCCTTCGAAACAAATCAATTTTGGAGACGAAAAAACGGCAGGAATTAAGTTTAACACCTAATATTTACGTTATACATCTCCGTATGATACAACCAAAGATGGGATCGGACTCAAGAAAGTAACAAGTCTGTTGTAATCTATAAATTGATATATAATTGACGAACAACTATGTTAGATATATTTTTGTACTTGTGGAATTGATGCAGAATATTTTAGTTAATCGTTAAAGAGAAAAAAATGGAACAATCTCGAAATCTAGCGTAGAATATTTGCGTAATGAATTTGTCGCTTAATTTATGTTAAATTTATTAAGAATTAAATTTGAATACTGAAGATGATCTGATGACAGATCGAAACGTCTATATATCTCGATATGTATTAAATATAAATAAATTTAAATTTCGCTGCTGTTATCTAGCGTTCGTGGAACAAGCTTTTTAAACCAAATGTTTGTTATACGTATCATAATTTATTTTTTAATGACAAACAACATGCAATTGTCTTTTTCTAAATACCTAATTCAGTATTGGATGTAAAAGTCACGTTGGGTTAAATATACGTGCGCGTAGGTGACGGCTTATACAAAATTTTTGGATCGATCGGACTTAAAGTAGGTTTCCCGCGCGTGAGGCAATGAAACATGTCCAGGCACGACTCGCGCGGGTGACGACGGCTAGGCGGGCTAATGACAATATCACGCGACGAACAACGAGTTGATGACAATCAAGACGCGCGTCTAGTTGGGACCCCACGGACCGCTTCTACACGCCCTTCAAATTTTATGAACACGGACGCGAGCGTCTATACCATCAAACTCGCGGCGAAGCCACCGTCGAGCCTAATGAGCAGTTTGTCGCATTGGCGTAGTCAACGAGAATTTATTATTGTACAACAATAATAAATTATTATGCGTTATTCCTTTAAGCAAATAACGTTTTTTTCCAAAGCTACACTGGCGCAATACATGTAAGATTACACTTTTTTAGTCCCACTGTATTTATACGAATATTTCGTTACAGAAAGACACTTTATTACTTGTTGTTTTACTGCGATATGAAGAAAAATGTATTTCTCTATATTTGCTACGATTTATTTGATCGTTAGCGGATATAATAAAACGAGAATGTTTGTTGATAGTACCGAAGGAAACTGGAAAAGTTCGGTAGTAACGAACGAACCGCGCCAATGGTTAAAACGCGACCGGGTTCAGTCAGTCACCGGAGGGTATACAAGTTCACGACATCATCCCATAAAGATTCATTAAGGTCCGCCGTTCTCTATATTCGTTCTGTCGTGCCAACATTATAGTGCCGCGTAGCGTGCCAGTTCGGCCGGGCATGCACGCACATACATACGTATGTACGCGGGCGAGAAACAAAACGGTTGATCAATAACAATCATAAGTGCGAGCTACGCCAAACGACGGACGACTGGGCGAGAAGATGATGAAGATGAAACCGATGATGACTGATAATCAGTAAGAGAGGAGGAAATAATGAATGGTAGCTTCTGAAATGGTGCCGCGTAACGTTCAAGTTAAGAAACAATCTTGTTGCATCTTCGTTGTTGCTATAATATTCGACGATGCAAATGGAGGGCAATGGCTATTTCGTGACGAGATACGAATCTGCTGTGCGAGATTTGTCGCGGAAAAATGTTGACGAGGGTCTTGCGCGCGAGTTTCTTTCAGCACGTGCCTACCGTCCTTTTAATTTCGTCAAGCACTTACAATTAGTCGTACAAGTTCATGACTCTTGCTTTGTAAGGTGAATGGCCTAATAATATCGTTTATCTGTATCATATATCCATAATTGGCATAAATGGCTCAAATTAATGTTTTTAGAAAATAATATTCGCGAGGTTTGGAATTGTGTGTGTGTGTATGATTGTAAGTACAATCATTAAATTGCTATTGTTCTCATGTCTTACGAGATATAATAAATGAAGGATAAAATCCTCCTGCTATTTTCAACTTACAAAATAACTTGTGGCCAATTCTTATCCCCATCATGGTAATGATATCGTCTCATAGGAATTTTGCTTGTCGGTGATATTTAAATGAATATTTCTAACTGTTTAATTAAAACAAAAAATATATAAAGAGCATATTTAGAAGCATATAAGGAAACCAATTGGGTGGAAGAAAAACGAATAATATATGTTACCTAACATGTTATACATCTTCCTAGCTGAGAAGTTCTAAAGATAAAATTTTTCTCGCTTTCTCGTATACTCGTACGTATAGCACATATCCGACAATGTTAAGTCATCTTCAGATTTAATATCCACGAATTGAACGTGCGTGTATCGCGCGCACGGGCTACTGTTAGTTCGTGACCAGATATCAATCTCCGCGGGCGAGATCTGTCGTGAGAGCGCGTAGAACCCGAGAGTTTCGCACGTGGCCACTATGGAAAGCGCAACCGTTGACGCACGCGAGATCGCGAGAGAGGAAAAAAAATTGATAGCTCTCCTGCGCAGCGACAGGAACATGATAATCCGCAATTGGCGCTTTCACCGAGCGACGATAGCGCGTTTGGAGAACGTCCGTAAAGATACATTCTCCGCCTCTCTCGTCGTTCGGTTTTTCTTATATAAGCATGATCCGATAGCTATTCTGATCGACGCAGTTGACGTCTCGGGAAATGCAAATTATTCTTTTATTCATAAAACGGGAGAACGTGCGAATGTGATGAACGTGAATATACATGTGTCATTTAATAACACGTAATCGATTAAAGGTGTTAAAAGGACTTAATTAGATACATATTAGATTTGCGGAAATACCATCGAGTTTAGACGAGTCACACCTGTCAACATAAATTACAGTCATATGATAAGATTGTATTTATAATTATTGATTAGTTGAATTATTATGTCAAATGAGATTAGATTATTAAATCTTGTGCATATACGACACAATATTTTTGTTCTCGATATATAAGTACGCATGATTCATGAAAATCATGATTCGCAAAAATCGAAAGAACTAACGATGCATTGCTATCCATTATGTCGCGTATCTCTCGTATCTCTTAATCGCAACGCTATTGCGATGTACGTGTATGTCATTAACGCGAAAGCACGTCCGCGGGCTTCGAGAAGCGAGGAAACGATACGAGTGTCGAATACATTAACAACAACGAGTAATCGCCGCCTCGCGTCGCATAAATGCGTTCCGAAATTTCGAAATATCGTTAAATGACAATAAATTGATTTATCTTCGATAATCAAGATAGTGTTACTCTTTCTTTTCTGTCAATTTTTAAATAAATTTAATGATAACTAAATTAAAACAAAATTGAATCATGAAGGACCTGATGATGATGTACTTAGGTCCAGTTTCATAACTCACGGTTAACTCTTAACCGAAGTTCAATTTGTTTATCATCTCTTTCCAATTCTAGAATTGGAAAGAGACAATAAATAAATTGAACATCGCGGTTAAGAATCAACCGTAAGTTGTGGAACTGGGCCTTAGTATTGTGAAATTCACGTCGCAACTAATTGTATTATCAAATGTGATGATAAAGGGCTGCAACCTTAAAGTATTAGATAAAAATGTCAATGGTGCTCATCCGTGTACATCTCGCGACAATATGGATTATTTAGGTTACTTAATCCTCTTTAGAAGTTTCATCCCTTCGTAAATAGTGAATATTGACGCATGTAGATTTTCTTACACTCGCATACAACGTGAGTTACTCGCGTTGGCTGCATGGTTACTTAATGTCGAGATGCTATCGACACATCCGGGGTTGTCATCGTACGGTATTTGCTTGGTTCGTTTTCCTTTCTTTCAGTCTATTCGCGGTTCTTTTCGTCCCTTTCTTCACACTGTGGGTCTTCATTAACGTGCCAGCTTGTTTGCTGCGAGATATCATCATGAACATTTTTTTTTTGGACGCCTCCCACTTCGCCACGATGACTGACAACGACATCATCGCGCATTGGCGGATCTAATTTGTATTCCATCATTCGTTAAATAATAATCTCACGATGATTCTCGGTGCTATAGCTCTCAAGTAAACGTTTCTCTAAACTCTTCAGCGATATTATTCGGGAAATTATCGGCGTTAATAGTCATTACTTTGACAATAGCCGATAAAATTTCTGAAACACTCATATTCTTTTGAAAAAATTGCTCGGCAAAGGTTACGAGCTCGGCTTTAAACCGTGCATGGTGTCGTAGAGAGTATCGTATAGGAGAGATACAAACTGGTACATCACATT